GTATAAATCCATATATAAAAAAACTGACAAATCTTCCTTTTGGAAACAGTGCAAGGAAGGAGGCAGGAAGATATCATAAAACAGACTTATGCATATCCCTCTACTTTTCTTCTGTAGGTCAGGAAAGGGAGGCCCTGCATGAACCCTGTATAATTCCAGCCACGTGGCTTCCTTTTTGTTCGTTCTTACAAAAACAACCCTCAAAAGTCTCTGTATTCTCTTGAAACACTGAAACGGCTTCTAAATAGGGCAGCCTTATCCTGAAGTGATGATATGGGACGCAGCTCTATATGGACATTTAAAATATTCAAAATATTAAAATTACACTTGTTTTGGGGGAGAAAGGGGAAAGTAATTTTAGGAAAAATGGAAATCTGCAACATTTAATGTTTAATATGTGCCACTTTTTATCTTATCAAATGCATTGTGTATAATTTGATCTGATTATTGAAAAGGTTTATTTAAGGTTTATTGAAAAGGATAATTTATGCAAATAATAATTATATATTACAGCTATAATATAATATAATATAATATAATATAATATAATATATACTGTATATAATTTATTTATAATATTGTGTATGTGTGTGTGTGTGTGTGTGTGTGTGTATATATATATATATATATATGCATACACAGACAGACACAGAGAGAGAGAGTATAATATAATTATATTTATAATATAAGGGATGTATTATCTCTACATTTTGCCTTTTAGACAAAATGTTAATATTCAAAGCAGAAGAAACCATCAAGCTTGTAATAAAACAATGATAGTGATGTAGTCTGGATTTTGGCCTCCACTGTATCAAACAGGTACAGAAAGCAATAATTTTCAGGGACGAAAAAGCTAAGAAAAATTAGGAAACACCAAGGCTCAACACAGATGTTTTGCCTTGTTGCCTAAACACTCTTGTTTTCTGAATCTGAGGTATTATTATCAACCAGTAATTACTGCTTTTTCAGATCCTTTTTAATTTTTTGTTTTGTTTCTATAGACTTCTGAAAACTGAAGTTTTGTCTGTATCAAGAAAAGCTTTTTCTATTTATTTTATATGGTAGTTTATTTCCTGATTTATTGCATTTGCAAATATAGCCTACTTTTTTACATCTAATCACATGCATTATTAAAGTGAAGCTATGAAGAAATCCTTTAAAAACTCCACCCCCTGTAATGTTTCCATTAAAAAATAATAAGGTAAAAATAAAAATAAAAAGCACCTTGGAAAACAATGAAAGTTCTGCCCCTAATCTTTAAATGAATGTTCACATTTTGAAATAATAAAGCTCCAAAGTTATTAAGAATTTAGTACAGTATCGAGCATGTGATTGGTATTTACTTTCTTAGTTTTCTTATCAAGTTAAAGAAGAGAATTCCAGAAGAGTTAATTCTGGGTCCTAACAGCATTTCAAGATCAATTCTGGCTTGGAATCAGTTTTCCCAACCAAAACTTCCAAACAAAATTTTGATTTTTCAGCTTTAGATCCCACAGAATCACAAAATTTACCACTGCATTTTATAACGACAAGCCTCAGAGTAATGCTTCCTAGAATTTAATGATCATATTACCTAGATCTTCAATACTGAGATTCTTCATAAGCCACTGCACTATGTCAGCTCCTGAAGAGAGAGAGAGACAGAATATTAAAAAGCACAACATAAACCATACATAAGTGATAAGTAATTTTCAGCACTGGCAGCTGTTGCTTCCAACAAGGGAAAATGCTAATTCTTTTAGCTGAGACATTCCTGTCATATCTTCTGTAGTCAATATCCCCACAAAATGTCTCCTGCTAGCTCTATCTCAGTTTTATCATGGGAATTAAATGATTGTTAAATGATACCTAAAAGATATATCTGTTCCAATAGAAGAGAATATATGTAGCTCAGGGACAACAAAAAGCTAAGAAGGCAACAAAAAAGACTAAAACACATCCCTTCCAGCAGCCAAAACCCAGATAAGTAGGGATCAACAAACAATCAGGCAGAAAACAATACTCTAATCAACGAACCTCCAAGGAGGAAATCATATCCTCATCAAAACTGTCAGGGCAAACTACAGTATATAAATAGGGAGCAAACCCCACACTCACTCGCACTGATGATGTTACCTAGTTGGGTAATGAAATGTCTGCAAGCAAACAACCAAGCTCAGAGAGCACCAAGGACTCCAGATATCTTTGTATTTAGAATCAGTATAATAAGGAGAGGGTACCTATGGCCACTACTCTAAGCTCCAGTTAGTATGGCCAAGGTGAAGAATGTTAGGATCATAGCTCATCAGCATCTGGACAGCATTTGGTTCCCCATAACCATCAAAAAGTAATTGCTGTGGAGTAAAGAGGTCCTTTTATCTCAGAATTTCCCAAAGGCCTTTGAATGGTCATAGCTGAAGCACAATCCTTATATTCTAAATGGAGACAAGGGACTTCCTCAAAGCCATTCAATTGAGAGGCAGGGTTCACACACCACAATAGACTAGGCTAATAGGTTTGGGTAGTTTGGCATTGTTTTAGCATGTTGTGTGAATCTGGCCACTGAATTTATTTGGATATAGCATTACTGCATTGTTGTTTTGGTGGTAATGGTTTAGATTTATAACCCACCTTTACAGGTAGTCCTTGCTTAATGACCATTTGTTCAACAACCGTACAAAGTTATGATGGCACTGAATGGACTTACGATCCGTACCTGAAGTTATGGCGATCTGGGTCTTTGGCAATTGGTTCACCCTTATGACTGGTTACCGAGTGCTCTGAGATCATGTGATACCATTTTCAATCTTCCTTGCCAGCTTCCCCAGAAAGTCAATGGGGCAGCTGGCAGAGAAGGTTGCAAGCCACTGCCACCTGCCAAGAGGACTCCTCTCACCTCTGGGGCTGGCTGAAAAATCTCTGTGCTGAAATCCAAGCAGTATTTTGGCATGGGGCATTTTCAGCCAGCCCCCAAAGCTCCGTGCACAATGCCCCAGGCCAAAATCCTGCTTGGGGTATTTAGTGCATGGAGCTTTGGGGGCTGCCTGAAAAAGCTTCATGCTGAAATCCAAGCAGGATTTTCAGCCACAGATTTTCAGCCCCAGAGTGGAGAGGCTTCAGAAGCCTCTCCAATCTGGGGCTGAGAATCCAAGAGGTTCTGAGGCCCTTGAACAACTGACCCGCACCGCATCCCTGCGCACCCCCTTGCTCCCTCCCCCACCCGGCAGCGCTTGCAACTTCCTGCCAGCTTCCCCACTGACTTGATTGTGGGTAGCTGGCAGGAAGCTGCCTCGTCTAATGACCGGGACATTCACTTAATGATGGCAACTGGGACTGCCAGGATTGTAGTTGCTAAGGGATGTGGTCACGTGATATTTTGCCTAATGACCACATTGCTTAGTGACAGAGGTTCCGGTCCCAATTGTGGTCGTTAGGTGAGGACTACCTGTATTTAGTATAACTCAAGGGGGCATGCATAATACTCCTGCCTTCTGTTTTCCTGTGAGGTACGTTGGAGTAAGAGAGAGTGACTGGCCCAAAGTCACCCAGCCAACTTTCATGCTTAAGGGAGGACTGGAACTCATAGTCTCCCAATTTGTAGTCCAGCACATTAATCAATACACCACATTGGGGCTCAGTCATACACACACTTATATATATCTCAGTCATATATCTCCGCATGGTTGTGAACACAGCAATTCTGTTTGCTGACTTGATTTTGTGCTTAGCATGTTATATGAACCCAGGTAGATGGAATTTGATCTTTGAGCACAAAACCCATATATCATTGTTTAGGGAAAACAAAAATAAAACCTAACATCATTCCAACAATGAGGCTCCACACTAGTTCATATAGTACCTAATTATGAATGCCCTAATGCAAGACTTGCTAACAGTCCACAACAAGAGTTTTTTTTTTAAAAACTGTAAAATAGTTTTATCAAGAATTATTTTATTGCGTGTTTGCAAAAGGGAAAATTCATGGTCACCGGCAACATCCTACTGGAGACAGAAGAGGAAAAGAGCTGCCACTCACCTGCCATTCTGGTGAACCTGCACAGCCATAATGCTGGATTAGACTGGTCTAATTCAGCAAGACTATTTTTGTGATCTTCTAAAGTAAGACTTCCAAATTCAGGAGCACTTCCATTCTCCCCCTGCCTGAGTTGTAGTCAGTAGGCCCTTCCTTCCTTTATGCTAAGTGATAACCTGATCCTCTGCTCCAAAGGCTTGCCCTGGAGGCACCTCTGTATTTTTAGTGCTCCTGTCTGTTCTGTTTTTCCATATTATTTCTTATCAGTTAGTAGATTTCTGAGCAAAGTGGAAGGAACACATTTTACAGTCCTCTCCATCTATCTCTGGCAGCAACCAAACAAGAGAAGTGTGGTTGTTAATCAATGGTTTTTTAAAACAAAAGCTTTCCATTTCCCAAAACATATTGACAACTTAAAGATGCACAAGCCTTTGATGGAAATAACCCAAAAAATAGACATATACATAAATATCTTTCCTTCATGCACCTTAAAAGCCTAAGGGATGCTTAAGAAAAGTATGTAGAAAATGTTTCCACCCAGTTTTTTCAAGTCTGAAGGATTATTATTTTTTGCTGACTTTGCCAGACCATTAATTATCACCTGCCAAAAATAATTACTCACCCTTAGGATAATGACAAGCTTTTCCTCCCCTGTTAATTACTGTCCTTGCTAACAGTCTGATCAGCATTCATCAGGATGACAGACAGACTTATCCTCTTGTTCCCTGCTTCTCTTTCTTCCCTCTGACAGCCAGAAATTCAACCAAGTATTTTAAAAAGAAAAAGACGATGCTGCCTGCATCATATGCCATCACCATATTAATGGACCATTTTCTGAGTCTGCTGAATAAACATAATGCAGGGACCAATTGACTCTCAACATTTTTAAAAAAGAAAATCCTTCAGAGAATCTGTTTCTAAAAGTATTTTATAAAGAGAAGTAGGACACCCTCCCCCCCTTATCTATCCATGATTATCCCTTCCAGAATCAGTGTTTACTCTCTCTCCTAAACATGATCTTCAATACGCTAATTTAGGTGTTGTTTTTAATCAAGCAGAAAAATAAGAGATGGCAATGCAGTAAACTTTATGTTACACATTTCCCAATACAGGTCAGGAGAATGGACCGTACAATTGTATTATATATCAGGAATAATGAGATAAGACACAGAGCAATAAATAAGGGATCAACACAATAAAGGTAGGTAATCATTTGGTTTCAAAATACTGTAGGGCCTTTTTAACATTCTGTTCCCATGTTCCTTGGAACACATCTACATCCTAATTTTTTTTTTCAATATCTTGCATCAAATTACTGCTTCTTCCCCCCACCTCCCCTCCTGTTTTTAATCCACTGGAAAAATCAGAGACCCAATACGGAGGGAGATTATATTTTAACTGATTAGTTCTATTGCTTTGAATAAAAGCTTTCAATCCATCCAATGATTTCAAATACTGAACCATACTGGATGGGGCTCCCTTCATGTATAGATTTTAGGACAAATGTCCCCTCCTCATTGCCTCCCTAAAGGCTTTGTTTCCATATATATATGGATGGATGAATGAATGAATGAATGAATGAATGAATGAATGAATGAATAGATGGTATACTGGAAGATAAACTAGAAAAGTGTATGAAAAGAAGTGCAGAACAGCAAAAACATAAAGAATGTATGCTTTATAGTTTATCTATTTGAAGATTTTTTTAAAAAATAGGGACTGTAAACCTTAGGAATCTGCTATATGTATTTTGCAAGTTGGAGTAGACAGCCCATCTAGAGTTTCAATAGAAAGCAAATTGCCAACTATTTTACTTACCAGCACCTGAGCCTTTAATAACACCATGAAATATAGAAATTGAGGTTTCTTTTCCCCTGGCATGGAAATCAAATTTTAGTTGATTAATTGCTATATGTGTTAGATTGCTTTTAATATATAAAGGAGGGTGGCATAATCCCTAATTTTCCTTGTTCCTCAAAATAAGCTGTCAGAACATCTTCTTGGGCTTGGTGAAACGTTGACTAGTTAGCAGACTTTGTTAGAAACCAATTAATCTGTTTTCAGTCCTCAGGTCTGAATCCATGTTTATGTAGTTCAAGTTGGGCTATCTGCACATAAAAGAGAGGCATCTGTAGGCTTAGGAGAATGACAGATGTTGCCCCCCAAAATTTATAGATATAAGAACTGAGTTTTCCCACCCTTTGCTGTATACTGAACAGCTGAATGAGGACAGTGTGTGATCAAGTAATGGAGGGTGAAAACAGAACACCAGTTAGGAAGGTGAATGGAATAGAATATCCTATCAGAGGGAATAATATTGCAGTACACCGTTGAGTGGATTCCAAATTATCACATACACAAAGGTCCTTATTTTGCATTTAATCTGACTATATACATGTTTTCTTTTTAAAACACAGCATTCAAGGTTAGAAAGAAGAGTGAGGTAGCATGCATTTTCAATATAACACACACATACACACAAATGTAAGATTTCATTCTATCTTTAAAAGTATTCTATCCCAGTGGAATGCTTCACCCAAGCAAATCCTATATTATTGTTTGTATATTATGTTATTCTATATAAATTGATCTGAGCAATTCTTATTGATTGC